CCAGTCAAAAGGATTTTTGCTTTTCTGCAACTGATGTTCCCAAGACTCACATTGAACTCAAATATTATTGAAACCTATAAACAATTTTTTCACCAACAATGAAAGTTCATAAGTCTGTTGTCTCATTAGTTTCTGCCTTAAATTCTGCAAAGAGACTAATATTCCTGGTGAGCTACTTACATGGTAACAGTCAAGCAGGACAGTAAGCTGGGTCTTCCATGCTCATCCCTCAGCTCCAGTCATTAACATGCTTGCTCTGCTCACTGCTACACTGATAACAGATTTTTTTCTTCTTTTCTTTTAACAAGAGAGGATTTGTGAATTAAACACACACTTACAGCCCTAGCAAGGTCATACCACAGGACTCTGAACTACAGTTGCTTTTGAAAGAAAGAAACTCATTGCTGATCAGTCTGACCTTCCACCGCGCTGGTTACTAACACACACTTCTACAGAACGCAGTCATTTTGAGGCCATTTCGGGGGACAAAAGAGCTGTATGGCTTCAAGATTAAGATGAAGCTTTCAAGTAGGTATTTCAGCATGTGACCAAGTGTCTGTTCTGAATGATTTAGCCTAAGGGTACCCTAAGGTGGAGGTTCCTTTTATAGACCACAAGAAAATAAATGTATTGGTCTTCCAAAAGAACCTCGTGCAAAACCCTGTGGGACACTGCCCAGCCAGGACATCTTGGAGTATCACTCAAGTCAGCGCTCAGCCGCCCTCATTCATATAATGCTGGTAGTGCTACAGATGTTCAGCCTAAGAATACTTGCAGTAATACCTGACCTACAGCCTTTGTCTTTACATAGAGTTTGCATCACCCATCAACATTTTTCATACATTTTGCTTTACCTGCCTTTCTGGGTTAATCTATTTTTATGTCTTCATAAATCAAACAACACAGCTCATTGCTATGATTATATTGAAATAAAGCCCTCTTTTTTTATCACAGCTACTTTGCTTGCCCTCCACCTCTGTTTCTCAGCAGGTTCTCAGATGCCTTGTTAAGACTTCCAGAGCCTCACAGCATACTCTGAGAAGAGTGCATCTGTCCTGAGGCTACAAGAAAGTAACTCTGCCACAATATAATTTATGAAACTCCAAGTTCAGCATCCTTTTCTTCCTTTCTATGCAAAGCTAGAGAGGAACTAGGGCTACTGAATTAACCTGGAAGTTTATACCTCACATCACATACAATCTGAACTGTAGCTGCTTCTCGGTACCTCATGCTGATTTATTCTTTCAGGGCTAGATCCTCACCTGGTATTTTTCCCACAGGTTAACCACTCCCGTGAGGCTGGCTGGATGTAAATCAGTGAAAACTCATCCATTCCTTTCTGAACACAAAAAAGTGTAACTTTCTATATCCGATTTTTTTCTTTTATTTTTATTTCCCCAATCCTTTATATAGTCATTATAGATGTTAAGAAGCCTGTTTTGGAAATGATTAATGCTATTAATATTTTTTCTAATTCAATAAGCACTCTCATCTTTGAACTCCTTGCAATATTTTTCTGCTTTCTTCAGCTTTCCACTAATTCAAACATATGACAAATGTGAGTCTTCGTTTCAGGTTTCTATTATTTCTCATGTCTGATCAAATAAATTAACAGACTTTCATTTCTTTCCCAGGAGTGATGCCCATATGTTGGCGAAGGCAGCATAAAAATATTACCTGTTCAAACAGGAGGAAAAAAAAAAAAAGATGAAAGTTTTCTTTTATTCACTGTTCCATGCAAACCAGAGAAGCTAATCCTATTCCTTTCACCTTGACAGCGCCCACTATGTTTAACGGTAAATATTGCAAGATTTGCAGACCACCCATCAATCTGGTTTAACTGCACTGTATTATATATCATGTCCCTTTACAATCTCTTCCTACAGTAGCAGTTATTTTAATCACCCCACAGTACTTCAGTCATTGGGAAAGAATCGGCAGTCCTATCTAATGTACACGCTCCCCAGTCACATGGCACCGGTCCGGCAGAGCAGCATGCTGCTAATGCAGTTTTCTCTGTTTGGATAGTTCAAGATACATCTCCAGGCCAATTTGTACCTGTGTATTGTTGATAGACAGCGTGCCGCAGGCAAAGAGATACTGCAGGAAATGGATTCTCATTTAACCGTGTTTAATTTTGTTCTCTGGATCTCCATCATATATCTTTCCATTTCTCTGCCCACCCAAATTGCTAATGTGAAACAAAGCTACTTCCGCCACTACAGCTCCTAAACTGATGTGTGACGCTGCAATGATTGATTTGCCACTCCAGGAAAAGTGGGTCATTGTACATGTACCACAGCATGCTGAACCAAGCCGTCCGTGCCGACATTGGGGTTTTACAGATTTGTTTTTAAAAGTTCAGACCTGAGGGGACTACCGTGAATATCCAGCCTGAACACTTCTGGTTTTTGATGGGAGCACTGCTGTTCTAAAATCTTCCTTAGCAGCTTATAGAGGTCTGAAGTAATTTGTGCTCCTTAGGAGACAGTATTCTGCTTATGTATTTTATATCTTACTTGCATGTTTGCTCCGAGGATGGAAAATGTAGAATTCCTCCAATTCCAAGGTACGGGGGCAGTTTCAGATTTGTCATTTTCCAGGATAGGAACCCCTAAACTAACATAAAAATGTATTTTAAATATAAAATGGTGTAATTAAGAGCTTTTGCAAAGGATTTTGAATCAGTGAGAAAAATACTGATGCAAACTGCTCTTTGAAAAAAATCCATTTATTCTTCTTCTGTGAGATTGCAATAGTTTTTAATAACTTTTCTCATGTAATGAGATGTGTTCAAACTCACTTTAAGATTGCCTCTTACAGTGCCAGGGAGCCATCATTTGAAGAGGTAAGTCTCAATACTGGAGGAGAACCTGCCTACCTATCTGTTGCATTAGGTCAGTAAAGTTAGGAATCAGTCGCTGAAAGGGGAATATATTGCAGGTTTTTCTCGAGCAGCCCAATAAGTAACTGAGCGCAGATGTCACTGCAGAATCCAAAAGGTCAAGGCAGGTGGGGATTTGTTTTTTGGTTTTCATAGGAACAAAAAGTTCAGGGAAATTTAGCTCTTAAAATTTTATCTTTGTTTTTATGAGAGTTGAGACCGACCTCCAAACCCCACCTGTTTTGGGAAATGATTTAATGAACAATAAGTTGGATAAGAACTTTCTTCAGGGCCTATAAATTTTTGCTTTGTTTTCGATAAACCCTTACGCAAGCGCCTTCTCCACTCTTTGCACGCCCCAAAGGGTGGTGCCCTCAAGGGCAGAGAACATCTAATCAGGTCCTTAAATCCTTACACTGGTAAAAACACTATTGGGATACACAGTTTTGCCCAGTAAGGACTGCACTTTTAACTTCCCACTGTAATTTTTGGCAGGCACAACCTGGGATGTGGAGAGAAAGTCAAAGGAAAGCCTATGAATGCCTCCTAATTAGGGGCCCTTTGGCTGCAGCGTAATCCACTGATTTGGCACCCTGTGCTGTGTGGGGTAAACCTGGATGGACACAAAGCCACAGCCTGTTCCAGAAAAGTCAGAGTGCAGCAGTGGTAAGGACCCAAGCCCTGAGGGCTCTGCTATAGTGATCCCTAAGCTGAGGCAGGGGGAGAGAAAATCACTGCCATTCCACTGAATAAATATGACTCCTGAATTTTCCTACTCTCTTCCTCCTCCTGCCACCCATCTCCTCTCCTCTGGAAACACCACAGATGTGGAAGGTTTGCAGGTAAGCAAAGACGAGATGGTCACAGCAAATGACAGAGCCAGACCCCAGCACAGCGTGCACTGATAAACCCCTGCCAAACCCTTTACCTTCTGAAACAGAATCCCCGTAATGGAAATAATTACTAAAGAAACAGACAAAAACTACTCCTGAATGAAATTTAAGCTTCAGCAGACCACAGCACTGCCAGGAAATGCCAAGTACAAGCAACCATCCCTTCATCCTGAATTCACACCATTTTCTGTTTCTGTTTCCTGTGCAAAGTTATCAATCACTCAGAAACTGCTGCGGGGGGGGTGGGGGGTGGGGGAGGCTGTGGATCAAGATTTGGATGCAGAGTGCCTTGGGACAGTCTTCACCTGACTCTGCAAAAATATCAGTCAACTATCTCATTTTGAGGGGGCTTTCTGGAAATATGTAGTATAATGCACAATACTGGGGGAAAACCCAGCAGTTTTGGGGGGGACCTCTGGCAATACCCAGAATGATGCATATTATTGGGGGAGAAAAAAAACCTGGGGGTGGGGGGGGGGGGGGGGCAGAGGGGGTCTCTGGCAATACCCAGTGTGGTCTTGGGGGGCAAAAAAGCTGTACAATTTTGTGGGGGACCTCTAGCAGTACCCAGAATGATGGGAGGAGTACGGGGAGAGGAAAAAAGCTGTATGGCTGTGATGAGAATTTCTGGCAATACCCAGCACAGCATTAAGCTGTATGATTTTGTGGGGGACCTCTGGCAATACGCAGCGTGATACACAGCGCTGAAGGGGACCGAGGAGAACTATAGGATTTCGGGGGGGGGGGGGCAGACACCCCTGGTAATACACAGAATGATGCACACGACTGGGGGGGACACGGACACCCAAACCCAAGCCCCGACCCCCTGCAGCATGCACGGCGGGCGGCACAACGACACAAGTAACTTCAAACAGATACCGCTTGGATAAGAGCGCAAAATGCGAAATTACAAACGGCAAATTACCTCGGCTCAATTACACACTTTCTCCCACACCCGCCGCTGCCGGCAGCGTGTGTCGTGTGTGTGTGTGTGTGTGTCCCAACAACACACACTCCGCAGGCAAAGGGG